AAAAAATAAAGTAAATTAAAATTAGATGCTAATTAACAGTCTTTCCATTAAAACATGTTTTCCTCGGGCGTTCCGTTTAGCCCACTTAGTAAGAGTGCTGTTTGTCTGGTTATATGTCTCATATAAACTAGACTGTGACCTCCAAAGTCATTGCTAGTTTCCGTTACTATGACAGGAAAAAGACCAACATTGGCTTGTCAAATTCTTAATTTGCCCCTGCCTTCACTTACACTTCTATTTATTCTCATTTAAGTACTATACTTCTCACATGTTTTGGGAGCATTGTTTAGAGTTTCCTTGGTTCAGAAATCAACTTAAGCAGGTTCGATTTTCTGGCTTTTCTCTTCTCTCTTTACTCCATCCCATTTCCTTCTTATCATAGAAATTTGATAGCTATTGGAGGCAAGTAAGTTGATAACAATTTAATAATAATAATAAAAAAAGCTCTCAAACCAATCATTTTTTACCTAAAACATTTTAATAACCAAATAATAACATTCATTGATTTTTGGTTTACAACAAATTACAAGTTTTTCTTCGGTTTAACATTTTAGAACAAAAAAATAAATTAACCAAGGAAAAAGTTTATCTGGGCCAAAAAAAAAAAAAGGAAAAAAAAAAAGAAAAGAAAAGAAAAGAAAAAACACCATAGAAAGAGTTTGTTATAATGCCATCTCTTTGATTTTGAGTTGTAGGTATTTTCCAGCATCAATGGAGACCATGATCATGGGCTTCATCTTCCTTCCAATGTTGTTGATGCAATGCTTCATGGCTGCCTTAGCCATGTCTCAACCAAACTTGACCACAGATCAATATGCTCTTCTTCAATTCAAAGCTTACGTCACTTCTGATCCTTTGAATATCATGTCCTCCAATTGGTCTTCTTCTGCTACCTCAATCTGTAATTGGGTTGGTGTTTCCTGTGGTGCTTTTCATAGTAGAGTCACAGCCTTGGATCTTCCAAACATGAATCTCACTGGCAGCCTCCCTCCTCACTTGGGAAACCTCTCATTTCTTGTTTCTATCAACTTGAGTGGAAATAGCTTCAATGGCCATCTGCCTCCAGAATTAGGGAAGCTACAGCGTTTAAGGTTCATGGACTTGAGCTCCAATTTTCTTAACGGAAGCATCCCAGATGAAATTTGGTTGCTTTCAAAGTTGGAGAATTTTAGATTAGGAAGCAACCGACTTACTGGAACTATATCAAGGAATATTGGGAACTTAACTAAACTAAGAAGAATATACATTGGAGATACAAAAATAGGAGGTATGATTTCAAATTTTTCTATTTTTTTGTCTTTTCTTTGATAGTATATGTTGAAAGTTAAGCAGGGATTCATCATTCTTCAATTAAACTCTAAACTCCCAATGTTTTTGTAGGGGAAATACCAAAGGAGATAGGTAATCTTCATAATTTGGAGAAACTTTCAGTAGGAAATGCACCCCTATCAGGTCTAATTCCACCAAATATCTTCAATATCTCTTTTTTAAGAGGGATTTATCTCCACACAAATAACCTTTATGGTACCCTTCCCGTTGACTTGTGCTACCATTTGCCAAATCTTGAGGAGCTTGATTTGAGTGAGAATCAATTAAATGGCTCAATTCCCTCAAGTATAAGTAGATGCAAGAAGCTTCAGCAGTTGGATCTAGACACTAATAGATTCACTGGATGCATCCCAAGAAGCATTGGGAACTTGTCCACACTTACTAAAATATATCTCTTTAACAATGACCTTGAAGCTGAGATTATTGAATTTGTTTTATTTTCATTTGTAATACATGAGATTAATAATTTTTGAGTCATTGCACTTTACTCTCAACATTGTAAGCATTAGCAAAAGTTTCTTGATAGGTATCATTCTAATGCAAACCCTCTTAATTTTTTTGAGTTTATTCTTCTTTATTATAGTTTGCTTTCAAAGTTGTAGATT